TTGGAAGAGAAGGTAGGGTGCTGTTTTTCTGAAAGTTTTACAGAACACAGCAGTGAAAGAGAGTGGAGAAAGGGGGAGAAAATACATCTCGATCCTCCAGGGGATTTGGAATGGAGATTTCCAGTACAGTGAACCTGACCCAGTGACTCGCTGCCCCTTGGGAGAGGAGACCTGCTCCTCCACCTCCCTGCCTTGCCCTGGACCATGTATTCCTGCCCTACTTGCATGCCTTGAAGTGGCGATGCCTTGACTGCCGCCAGAAGAGCCAGGAGCAATAACACAGCTGAAGCCACTCAAGACCTCCCTCCTATGACTCTGATTTCCTTTCTCCTGCTCTAATTTCTTGGTCGTCTTTTCTCTCTCTTGTGCTCCTGAGGCTCACTGGGCAGTGAGGTAGGCCGTTTCAACTCATTAGCCTTGGAAAGCAAAATAAAAATTGTCTAGTGTGCTCAAGGGTTTTTTCTGCCAGTTTGGTGAGCTGAAGTGGCTCACTGGGCTGTAAGCATCAGCCTTGATTCAAGGGCAGGGTAGGAAAGAAGTGTGGGACCACTACCCTCATGTAGAGATGAACTATTAGCCTGAACTGTGCAGGCTAAATAGAGCAGTATTGTGAAATAGCGTTCCTAACTGATAAGGGATGCTAAACTACACAAAAGCATTTTTTTTAATACATCTCCTGCCCAGAACAATAATGTCTAATCAAACAAGTGACAGTGCTGTGACAAGTGAAAAGTAGGAAAACATGGCGGGGGGGGGCTGGCTTCTTCCGCAGCAGCTGCACTGAACTGCGAGCCATAACCAGCCAGAGGACTTCACAGAGTGAGAACTTTCTTAACGCTACCTGTTTCAGTCGCTCTGTATGGCGTGCAATAGCTAAATGAGCTATTAATGTTTAAATAAGTCAACGTTTGCTGGGTCACTGAGAGAGGGAGCAAACATCAAGCTGTGGCCATGCTGCCTCTCACCTCTGCTCTCTGGCCTGATGAAGATTTGATTATGACTCAGTGAAATAACTTTCAGCGTGAAGGAGTGCGTTCCTTTCCCTAGGCTTCCCCAGAATATAGCACGGCCTGGTGGTCAGGGCGCTTTCCTGAGGGAAATGAGCTTGCTTTCTTGGTTAGGAAAGGGCATTCAGCCCTCCTGGGTGACAATTCCTGTGTTGTGGTATAGGAGGCAGGTGATTCTTCACCTCTTCTTTCAGTCCTGACTTGTGCGGAGCCCGGTCAGTGAGGTACGTTCTGGTAGGACCTATTGGAGCGAGACCCTTAAGTGCTGTGCTAGAGAACATAAAACCAACGTATCATAGTGGGACAACTATGGAGATAAGAAGGAAGACCTGAACTGGTTTTGGACATATCCAGTGACAAAATCTTTATGTGGGTAAAAACCAGTAAGTGGTGAGTGCTAAAGAACAGGGTAGATGTCACAAGATGTGTAGCCTTATGTTAGAGTTAGTGATAAGGTTACAGCCCTCAGGTATGTACAGCGACGGTGCCATGCCTGACCAGACTCTGGCCAGTGAAGCCAAAGTATGTTTAGCTTGGCATGCTGGGCTAGGCTTAGAAAGCTGCAGCAGCTCACGGGTATTTCAAATATCTCTGCAGTGGGGATGGGACAGACAGCTGGGGTGGCAATCTTGTTAGTTATCCTGATATAAATTGTGTCTTCTTGTGAATCAGAGCTGTCCGGCACCAATGGGATGTAAGTGCCTTCAGGGTTAGGCAGCTGCTTGGTGAGGAGAAATTGAATATCATGATTTTGGGTTTAGAAAGCTATAGCGGGAGTTAGACAGAATACACCTAAGCCATTAGGTGCCTAAGCCATTTTTGTGGATCTTGCCTTTGAAGTATATCTTAGTACCTATTTTAGCCTGTTCTACTTCCACATTGAGTTGATGATATTTTCATCCTAAAAATTGCAGACAAGAAACCCTTTGTGAACCGACTGTGGGGTTATGTGGCGGTTAGTTTCTAATAATTCCTTAGATTTAAGCTTCAATCTGTCATTGGCTTGTTTTTTGAAACGCTGATTGACTCTGAAAGGAGTTTACAAAAATAGCATCATGGGGCTCTGTATCTATTGGAGTTCAATAATATTTCAGTCTGGCAGCTTTCGATCTGAAAATAAAGCTTTGTTTTTTTTAGCTAGTACACAGTCATCAGCTATAATGGAGTTGCTTCTGGGTCAATGATGGAGAACGGGAAGATACTAAATAATTCAGGTGATAGACCTGACTCTCTCCAGGGCAGTACTGGCTTTGCGATACAAGGAGAAGGCGTTATTGAAATCAGTGGGATTACTTGCCTCAATGAGTAAGAATGGGAAACTGCTTGCAGGATCAAGTCTGCACTCTTATTTGGAGAGTTCTTCTCTTGTTGTACGGGGAAATATGCTGGAACTAGTATAACCGTTCTGTCTGTGGGACTTTCAGTGAGGAAGGGAAGGTTAGTTTAAAAGAGGAGCCTGTCAGTCTCTGCTTGTTTTCCTGCAGTCCTCATCCTGCAGTTCTTAATATATCCTATTCTTATCATTGTGTCACATGATATAACAGAGTGTGACCAACTATTGTTTATGAAAGGTAAGGTTAGGCTTGTGCTACTTTTGCTAAGTGCTGCTAGGTGGCAATATGCTACCTAGAAAATCATGAGCTTCCAACCACCATCGTTCTCCTTTGCTTAGGACATAGCTGGGACTTTATGTACTGTTTCACTTAGAAAAGGATGTCCTTGGAGCAGGACCTGTTGAAAGCTGTGTTTCCCTCACAAGTATCACCCATTTCAACTTAGGATTAATGTTTTCCAGAAAAAAACATAGGACTGTATCCTACTGGAAAAATCTCTTCTGTGTGAACAGGAGAGAAAAAATTCTTTACACTGAAATAAGAGTCAGGCCCACCTGCTGCAATATTTCTGTTTATATTGGGAGAGTCGTACTAAGGGAATGAATTCTTCTGTTATATGAAGATATCGCCACCTGGGACTAGAATATTCCATATTCTTACAGGGTCCTCTTAACAATATAAGATTAAAAATATCTCTTCAGAGCGCAAAGATTTTTCTGTCTTCCAAATACATAATTTAACTGAAATCCTTTACATTTTCGATCAAAATATTTAATTAACTAGAACAACTTTAGGACATTGGTATTGACAGTTGGGTTGAAAAACAGCTTTAATAAAGGTGGAGAAGAAGTATATCCATCTTTCATCCATGCTACAAATACTTAAAACCGAGTCATCTTACACATGTGTACTAACAAAGAGATAGCAATGAAGACTGGTTCATATCTGCATATTGCTTTGAATACCCAAAATGATGTGCATTAAAACAAGTATTTATTTTCGCTTGATCTGGTTCTTGGCATGGTAGCACACATTCTTCCATGAGGTGGCACAGGGTTGGAAACCAATGCAAAGAGAAAGCGGGACTGTAAATGAACATGCAAATTTTATGCCAGCTGTATGTTTACATGAAATTACAGCTTAAGATTAATCATTTCCCATGCAGGGATAGCTTTCAGCTGGCCCTGTCGTCCCTCTGACCGATCGCTGGGGCAGGCGAGCTGGACCTGACGTTTGGGAGCCGGCGGCCAGGACCGCTCCTTTTGGCAGCTGCACTTAAAGCAGGAGGTTAAACAGACATACAAGTGAACGTGGAGAACCTGAGTTGCTCCTCACCCTGATGCGAATAAGGCAGTAACTCCCTTCCTGTTGACAACACACCACTTGTGAAAGCAAACTGCGTGAGTGGGTGGGAAGTCCGGGCCTCGCCTCTCGGGGGAACAATATCGCAAAGGTTGATGAACGGTGGCTTCGCTCTGGTTCGAATTCTCCAGGCAGAAGCACGTATCATAATTTGAGCTAGATGAGGTGAGACGTTGTTCCAGGAGGACAGAGACCTTAGCTTGATTATGTTGACTTAAGGTAGAAATTCTGCTTTTTGTTTTTTTCCTGCACTAGTAGCCTACTTTGCTAAAAATACAACAATTTGCTTATGTGGTATTTAGTAGCCTTACAGCTAACAAACATCATCTGCGGCCAAACCGCTGCAGTGTAGAGTGACTTTATACCGCCCGAGGGCGTTCGTAAGCGGGTGCCACCCGGAGCCA